CAAGCAAAAAAATGTTAATTTGATCAAATGGAGGATGAACTAATTAAGGATAGAATAGTTGTTGGTATACAAAATAATGATGTTCGAGAAAAAATACTTTTTGATCCAGATCTGAATATAACTAAAGCAATTCAAATATGTGTAGCTGCTGAAAATGCTAATACACAACTAAGATAAATTAAAGATAGGAACGAAAATGAACCATCCATTTCCACAATCGAAAGAAAAATCAGTAGAGATTTCTCACAGAAAGCCTTTAATCCTAGAGATAAGAAACATAAATAATTGTACACGTTGTGGAGCTAAACATGAAATAAACAAATGCCCAGCATATGGTAAAGTATGCCATAAATGTAAAAAGGCTAACCATTTCTCAAAATTATGCAAAACTGCCAAAAGGGAAAGAGTGGTAAACCTTGTAGATGATACTGAGGTGGAATCGGATGAATTTTCTCTCTCAATAAATGAAATAAAGACCCGAAATGGACAAGAGTGGCTGGAAAGAGTAACGTTCAAAGTAAATCAAACAGTTGAGTTTAAATTGGACACTGGAGCTCAGTGCAATGTCATACCTTTGACACTCTCTAAAAAACTTAAACTAAAAATTAATTCAAGTGGAGTAAGGAAGTTATTAACTTACTCTGGTGAATCAATAAGGGTAATGGGCGAGACAAATGTTACTTGCACAATAAAAAGTAAGGCAGTAGTTCTCAGATTTATAATATCAGAAAAAGGAATCACTCCGATTCTGGGAAGAGATGCCTGCTCACAGTTAGGCTTGATCTACAGGGTTGATGAAGTCTGTCCAGAAATGGAATTTGAAGAATTGTTTAAAGGTATAGGGCTTATAAGGAACTATAAATATAAAGCTGACTTTTCAGAAATTCCAAAAAATTTGCCCATTAAACCTGCTCGCAAGATACCGTTTGCAATTAATGCTAATGTCAAGAAGGAACTTGATGAAATGGAAGCATTGGGCATAATCAAAAAAGTGAATCACCCCACTCCCATCTCCAGTCATATGGTGATAGTTCGCAAGGACGGAAAGATAAGGATATGTCTTGATCCTTCAGACTTAAACAAGATTTTGTTACGAAGAGTGTTTCCTCTCAAACGACTGGAGGACATTGCAGTCACCTTGCACACACAAGTCCAAATACTTCTCAAACTGGATTTAAAGAAAAGCTTTTGGCAACTCCCAGTTGATGAAGAAACACAACCATACTTCACTTTTTCAACACCATGGGAAAGGTGTATGATTTGCATTTCCAATTCCAGGAGTAATCAAAAACAAACGATCATTAACAAGGAAATACCCAAATTTCCATGGCAGATTGTAGCATCAGATGTTTTTTTATGTATAATGACCACAATTATTTACTGGTAACTGATATTTATTCTGGATATATTGATTTTAAAGAACTTAAATCATATAATTCTAAAGAAACAATAGTATATTTAAAGGAATGGTTTGCCCAACATGGGATCCCAAAGGTTCTAGAAACTGATAATGGTACCAACTATTGTTCAAGAGAATTCAAGCAATTTTCACAGGAATGTTCATTTACCCACCAAACCTCTAGCCCTCTACACCCTAGGTCCAATGGGTTGGCAGAAAGGGCCGTTCAAACAGCAAAAAGTCTTCTTAGTAAATGTGAAAGAGGAAAAGAAGACATCCAAATGGCACTGTTGAACTATCAAAACACCCCAAGAGAAGGATTAGGTTCACCTGTGCAACGACTTTACAGTCGCTGAACCAGAACCGTGTTGCCAATTAAAAAAGATCTTTTGGAACCATCTGTACTGGAGAAAACTAGTGAAATTCTTAGAAACGCTCGCGAAAGACAAAAATCTTATGGTGATATGCATTCTACATCACATCAGCAACTCTCGGAAAATCAACCAGTGTTCTTGAAAGAGCGTGAAAGAGTCTGGACTCCTGCTACTGTAGTCAAGCAGTTAAGTCCTAGGTCATATGCAGTGAGATCTCAAGATAGGATATTGCGTCGTAATTAAGCCTTCTTGAGACCTTTTCATGGTGAGCCAGAGGCTCAGACTTCATCCATGGACTATCATAAGGAAATGGAGAACAATGGTCCTCCCCCACTTGAAAGTGAGCACGCATCACCCCCACCTGTGCCGACTCTGCTGGACTAGACTGACAAGGGACCCCACCCATCAACGGAGCCCATGGAGCCATCACAGACTTTACCGTCCACTGACCGTAACCCTTTAAGAACAAAGTCTGGACGCCTCATCAAGCCAGTCTCCCGGCTGAACCTTTGAAAAAAAAAGGGGGAGATGTAAATATAAAAGTAATATTAAAGTCAATAATAATCAGTAGCCAAGTTGGCGCTTATATAAACAAAAGGAATAACTCTTTTGCATAAATAAATATATGTTGTCTAGTTTGTAATACAATAAATACATTAAGTTTTAGTCTGCTTAATGTTTTTGTTAGTTTTTAATTAACTACGAAGACAAGTTAATGTCACAGTGGGGGTTTCAGATGTAAAACTTCCTATATAAATGCGGGGTATTGGAAATCGAATATGGGCCTGGATTGGATTTTATCAATGGAAATAGGAAATTAGTTAAATATTTAAATAGAGGAAAGTCTGGAGAAAGGTAGTAAGCTATTACAGGTCATGGAGGTATCTTTCTCCAGCCTTTCCTTTATCTAAATATTTAACTAATTTCCTATTTCCATTGATAAAATCCAATCCAGGCCCACATTCAATTTCTAATACCCCCGCATTTATACAGGAATTTTTGCATCTGAAATCCCCACCTGACTATAATAGGATCTCATTTGATGTAACATCGCTGTATCTTTCACTGCCACACTCACTCATCTCAGATTCACCAAAAACTAAATAGTACCATAACTCAGTTAACACAGCTATGTCTATGAGTATATTCACGTTTAATTCCCAGTATTATAAACAAATAAGAGGTACCCCAATGGGTAGCCCTTCGTCTTCCATTGTTTCAGAGTTGGTAATGATAACTTTAGATAAATATATTAATAGTAGATGATACATTTTGTATTTGTAAGTCTAGCCATAACCATCTTATCCTCTCAGGCTTAAACTCTTTCCATCTGGACTTAAAATTCACATATGAAACAGAACAATCTAATGCTCTCCCCTTTTTAGATATATTGATCGTTAGTACGGATAGCAGTTATCAAACAACAGTATATTACAAACCAAACTTTCCCCCCATTACACTCATTTTAAATCCTATAGTCCTAAATCGCATAAAATTAACACAGTTAGAACTCTCACTAAACGTTTGCATATCCATTGTTCCCTCACTATTTTTAAAACAATAGAAAAATCAAAAATTATTTCTAATTTGATCTCCGCCGGTTACCCTATTCCCTTCATAGTTAAACATTTATACTTGCAGTACCCATTTAAATCCACTTCATCCTATAGACATACTTGTGCCTCACCATACTCCACCCATGCAGTTTCCATCTCTAGAATATTAAGAACACATGGCATCAATACCTACTTCAACAGCCACCAGACATTTATACATCCAACAGAAATCCCATAACTAAAACTGCGAAACCTCTCAATCCAGTCGATTCTTGCGGGGCTGTCTACTCGGTCTCCTGTGGGGATATATTTGCTAATATATTTTTAAAAATAGGAAAATATGAATTAAAAATAAAAATGTTGGTATTAAAGTGGAAAATGCTTTTTTTTTATATAAAAAATGTAGCCATTAGTGTGTGTGTGTGTGCGCGCGCATAACTTGTTTTAAAAGTTTGAAACATATATATCTTACTAGCGGATGTGTACCCGGCCGGGTTTTATCCAAGTGAAAGTTTGCCTAACGAATATTATATATTATGAAGTATAATAAACAATGCTAAAGATTAGTTTTAATTATTAATCAAGATTGTGTGTGAATATGTGAGAAAGATGTAATATCGTTGTTGTTTTCTTGGCCGACTGTTTTCCAATGGTGTTATCTTAAAATTGATTGTTTTGAATATTTTTTTAGATTGAGTTGAATGAATTGCTGAATTTTTTTTGTATTTATATATAAATAAAATTAACTCTGTTGAATTTTTTTGTATTTTATCGATAACAGCAAAGTTATGTATTTTAAAGTTAGGAAAAATATTTTGATGTTAAGCAAAACCTGCTCCATCTCGTTTTACATAAATGTTGAAAATTTGGTCGAAATTGATGCATTGTAACGAAAGTTTTTAGCGAACACCACTTATGAAATTTCCATTTATATAGAAGATATAATATAAATGAGTTTTAAAAATTGTTAAAAAAAAATGCATCAGCCGGGAATCGAACCCTGGCCGCCCGCGTGGCAGGCGAGCATTCTACCACTGAACCACCGATGCTTCAAAAAAATCAAATTCATTTATCGTCGCGACCAGTGCTGCGCACTAGCGGTAAAAGACTGGAACTAACGCTTTTTGGTTTTTTATTAAAAAAAAAAAAAGCACATTAACTTTTTTAGTTTTTTGAATAGCCTATATGTTAAACGAAATCTTCAGCTACCTACATGCGAAATTCCATAATGATTGAGTCAGTAGATTTTGCGTGATGCGATAACAAACATCGATTTCGCATTTCATTTTTATATATATAAGGATTTCGAAATAGACGAAATACACATTGAATATATCGTTGTGATTTTTGCACATTATTAATGACATATGAACTCTACATGGCTATACACATTTGAATGGGCCTTGAGAAACGCTTTTTTGGTTTAATAAAAACTTCATAATGATAATATATCTCAAAAATGGCTTAAGGGCTATCATAAATAAATTTTCAGGACTTCTAATGTAGTCATTAAATGTGCTAAATATTAATATTACACCGCATAAGTTTCTTTTTTTGTGAAAAATCAATATTTATTTCAAAGAGAAATATTTAGTATTTCTAACTTTTTTTTTAAATGAAGTATGAGAGGGTGAAAATATGAAGAGTAATGGCGAACGGAAAAATAAAAGTGTCCAGGGGCGGGAATCGAACCCACAACCTTCTGGGCAGGTGCCATGTCCACTAGGCTACCCTGGACGTATTCTTCCGTTCGTAAATAATATTTAAAGTAACTTATAATACATTATAAAGGACTGCGGGGAGTGATTATAAACAATACTTAAAGTTACACCGCATTAGTTTCTTTTTTTGTGAAAAATCAATATTTATTTCAAAGAGAAATATTTACTATTTCTAACTTTTTTTTGAATGAATTATGAGAGGGTGAAAATATGAAGAGTAATGGCGAATGGAAAAATAAAAGTGTCCAGGGGCGGGAATCGAACCCACAACCTTCTGCTTACCGGGCAGGTGCCATGTCCACTAGGCTACCCTGGACGTTATTTCTCTGTTCGTAGAAAAGAAACTTATGCGGTGTAACTTTAAGTATTGTTTATAATCACTCGCCGCAGTCCTTTATAATGTATTATAAGTTACTTTAAATATTATTTACGAACGGAAGAATACGTCCAGGGTAGCCTAGTGGACATGGCACCTGCCCGGTAAGCAGAAGGTTGTGGGTTCGATTCCCGCCCCTGGACACTTTTATTTTTCCGTTCGCCATTACTCTTCATATTTTCACCCTCTCATACTTCATTCAAAAAAAAAGTTAGAAATAGTAAATATTTCTCTTTGAAATAAATATTGATTTTTCACAAAAAAATAAACTTATGCGGTGTAACTTTAAGTATTGTTTATAATCACTCGCCGCTGTCCTTTATAAAATATTAATATGTTCAAATAAAAAATTTAAGAGCCTAAAAATTCATTAAATATAAAAACAATTTATCTAAAATAAATTTCAAAATATAATCAGAAATGTCGTTTATGTTCTTATTAAAAATAAAAATATTCTGTAATGAAATAAAATGCCTTTATTGAAATAAAAAATAATTAATTATTTATTTATGCAATATTATATACATATATAATTTAATATACATTTTTTTTCCAACATTATAATAATTAATTATTAATTAATTAAAAATATCATAAATAATTTTACTCTGTTGAATATTTTTCAAATTTGTAAGTAAACAAAAGCGTTCGAGGGAATTTGAAGGAAATTTTGAATTTAATGAATTTTAAAATAATGAAAAAAATATTTAAGCGAATATATCACCAAGTGAAGCGAAAGTTAAAGCCATTTTCCAATGCTACTAACAAGGATATAATCAATAAGTTTTGGAAATTTGTGCTTGTAACTCGGGCCTCAAAAATATATTTCAAATATACAAATCTTTGATTTTCAAGGTTGGTAGTTTTTTAAAGTTTAATTCTTAAATATTTTTATTTAAAGGTTTATATTAATTAAAACGCTTATAATTTGCCCTTTTTAAAGGAAAATACATATTACAAAAATAAGATAGATGAATAAGAAAATAAATAGAAATGTTAAAATATTTAGCGAGGTAAAAGTAAAGTTATTTCAATTCAATTTTATTCTGACTGACAAGTGTAGTTTCATTACATTTTCAATCTTAGATTGGGGGTAATTAGTTGAGAAGGGTGTTTACCTGCAACATTTCTCTCCCCATGTTAGATTAATATAAATCAACACCAAGTTCAAAATAAGTCTTAGACTGCTTACCATATTCAATTAAACTTCATATATATTTCAAATTATTTTTATAATTAATTATTTTTTAATATTATTTAATGAAAAACTTTCTCTATAAATAGATTAAAATTAAATTTGAAAATTTTCTTCTATTTTGTGTGTGTGGGTGATATGATTTAACAATTTTACTTTTATAGTTACTATCTCCACAGTACACATGATATAGGTATGAAAAATTTTCATAAAATACAGGGAGGGGGTTGTTTCTCATGTAAATGCATCACATGTCTTCAGATGTAGAAAGCAGTTACACTCTTGTCTCAATGTAACACAGCCATGTTTGGATGATTTCACTTGCTAGGGAGGTTGGTCATATCAAGGAGCTGACTGTTGAAGTTGGGTTAAAATGGTTTTATATCATATTTTACCATCACCAAACTTAGGAACAAACTCTGAGTCAGGTAGAGCTACCATCATTAGGTTAGGGCTTTTTCACTAGACATACTGTTCAGTAGAATTCACAGTAGTAGACAATTCTATGCAGTTGTCTTTGCTATCATTCCTATTTTTACCAATTAGCTGCTCTCCAATAAGAGAACACCTCTCTCTAATAGACACCCTATCCCTGCAAATACTTTAGGGAGAGTTTGTATCGTATATACTTTAATGGCGTGCTATATATAGAGTTTACTCAGAGGGTGGAAGTCTTCAGATCTTAAAATGGCTTGTTATTTATTACCTCTTTTAAATCACATTTAGCTGTGTTAGGGTAGGTGGTGTTTGATGGTGTAATGAAATAGGAGTATGATAAGTCACAATTTGGATTATAGATTATAAACACAAGGTAATAAGACCAAATAAATAAATAGTGTGTGATGTTTCGGTAACAGTGTTGTTACCATCTTCAGACAAAAGTACTGAATTAATACAAAGCTATAACACACCATCTATATAGAGCAAATGAAAACATTAAGACTCGAGTGTTTTTTTCTTTCACACATGAATCAAATATTTCTGCTGAATAAAGTACTGAATATTTATAATTAAAACACCTCTAATCTGCTAATTATTGGATCAATATGCCCACACCCAGAGTAATATACAGTCTAACCTCTTTAAGGCAACACTCCAAGTGATCAGAGCTTTCGGTTGAATTAAAGTCGGTTATATGATTTGATCACAGCATTCACTGCTAGTGGATATTTTTATATGATATATACAACCACATACATTTTTGATTAAATTCTTCAGCATGTATCATGAATAATTTTTGGTGATAGGTAAATTTGTATTTATACATTTTTAAGCAAAGGAGAAATTGAGAATACTATTCTAATCTAAGCGAATTAATGCAATGAAAATAAATTTAATAAATTTAGAAAATAGAGGATAAAATTTTATATAAATTAAATCAATTTTGATTAAAGATTTTTTTTGCTTTTGGGCTTAAACCTTTTTCATTCTAGCTATTTGCATTCTAGCTGATAAAGTTTTAAAAGGCATGCTTGTCTTTCCTGTTAAGTTCCTTCCAAAAACACAATATTACTCTACAAAACAACTGATTGTTTAGATTGGTAACTTGCAGACACTGAGGTTATAAAACCAATGATTTTACAATCTTCATATCTTTGAAAAGGCATGTGACATACCACCAGCATTTACACACCACCATGTATCACTTTTAGCTTTGATATGAATGTATTTACAACACTGCTGTCCCGCCCATGGCAATATGATTCAATTTTGGTGATTAAGTTGTATTTAAACAAAGGGTTGTTGATATTTTATTTAAGAAACAGTCGAAATCAGTGACCTAGGTTATAGAACGAATGATATCAAAATATCTTTGCAACAAAACAAATCTTGCGGGATTTTGCAGACACATTGATGCCAGCATTTGCAGTTGCAATATCACACTTTTAGCCACCATCTTAAAAGCACTATGGTCACAGTGCCTTTAACAATAGATAATTTTTTGCATGAGTTAATTATAGGCATATATCTCCTGTATGGTACTTTAATAAATTTTTAAAGATAAAGTTGATTCTGAACTGAAATGAGCTAATGTCTATATTTGAGTATGAGATCAAATTATGGCAAGCATCAAATTAACATTTAAATTATAGGCAAAAGATTTGGTTTTAAAAATGGTTTTAATTTAAAATAAAAGGATTTAAAAGCACGAATGTTTTTTTTATACATAAAACGAACTTCTACTGTCCTTACTGCGATGAAAAAATATATTGGGAGGGCTTGGCTCATCAGTGGTGAACCCTCCCAGCGGTTTCGCCAATTTAATCCACCAGACCGCTTCTCAGAGCTCTAATACTGTATTGGATCATTCTGCTTTTATATGCTACACTGAAGGATGGATTCATAGAAATGGTTTTCAAGTAAACTATGGACATAAGCTTATAGGACAGTAGAATTACATTCAAATATTTGCTTCGAGCAATGCTCTTCAGCAAACTATAAAGGCAAGGCCAGTTAGGAATAGATTAACACAAAGCAATAACGCGCCATCTATATTGATGAGGCTGAAGTGGGGATATAAAACTCAATTTATTGGTAGGTTGCAGTACATTGTCCTGGTGGGCTATGGTCACCATGGCCCGTTCCAGGGCTGGGCTTGTGGTCCGGTTCTGGAGGGTTGTTGAGGTCCGATTCTCTGCGGTATAGCCGTTGGGAGGGTTAGATCTGGTACAAGACATCGTTCGTTCGCCGGCAAGGATAAAAAGAAAAACAAAAAATAATAAAAATAGCACGAAGGTCTAACGATAACTGGCACGTTGTATTTGTTTGCATTCCGCGAAAACGGTGGTCCGTGGTCAAATACAACTTGTGCCTGTTATCTCTGTGGTGCCGTTTCTCTGATAAATAAATAAAATAAACAAAATTTAAGATAATTTTGCAACGTCACGTGTATTTCCGGTCGTGTATTTCCGGTCGGTTGCTTGTTGACACACAACACCACCCCCCCTCTTATCTTAGACTCGGTCCCTCGAGTCGCCGTTATCTTTCTAGAAATTCCTTAAGTCTCGACACGTGCGCTAACGTGCTCTGGCGCCTACTATTTTCGTTGCGTCCGTCCTGTGGTCGTAACCTATATGTCGTTTCCTTGATTCTATCCGTTATTACGTACGGTCCTACGTATTTCGGCAGAAATTTCTCCGTTTTCCCTGGTTTCCTGCGAGACGACTCCAGTAGTACCAGGTCGCCCACTTCAAACTTTCGGAAGCGGTCACGGTTCGCAAGGTCATACTGACACTTCGTCATCATTGTCCGGTCTCGGTAGTTTTCGTCGGCAATTTCTTTAATCTCTCGTTTTCTAAAATGCGGTTGGTCACGTATTCGTCGTAAGTTTTTACTGGCTCGTCGACGGTTGGTAGTCCTACGTCTAGGGACGTCCTCGGTTCTACGCCAAATATCAACTTATGCGGTGTCACCTGTGTCGACGACTGAATGGACGAGTTATACG